CTTGTTTTGCGTGTGATCGTATTTCTACAGACGCTATTTATTTTCAATCGTCTCGTTGATATAAAAAATTGTTATATGATTTAAAGAAATGCAATGAGGAATAAAAATCTCCTTGTGGCCACGAATGTTCAAATGCGGTGACTTCAGGCTCAGATGCGGAACACAAATGCACTGGATCAGCAATAGTGGAGGGGCCAAAAAAAATTATACTTAAAACCTTAATGAACTGGAGATGCTTCACTATATCGGGGAAAAAAAGCCTAGGGGTCAAGGCCCCTATGGCCATCCGCCCCTGTCCAAGCTACCTACAAAGCATGTGGTCGTCCTGAGATTAGTCAGTTCGCATAACGGGTTGGATATCCAGATTAATAAAAAAAAATGCATTAAAAAATTATTCAAAAGGATATCTTATGTAACATATAGTATAATACAATTCCTAAGTTTGGCAATTTTAGGTAGGAATATTAGGTCTTACTTTTTTTTCTTAAAGTTTAAGTTTGTATAAAGACTTAGAAGTTAGATGGTTGATTTTTCATTAAGTTATGTATAGATAAAACTATCTGTATGGATTAATCTTTCTATGTAGATCGAAAAGGTTTTTGTTTAAGGTTTTTTTCCATAAATAGAATGAGCGTGTTTTTTAATTTGGAGGTCAGGTTTGAAAAGGAAAACTTGATTTTTTTCGCATGAAGATATCTATTAGAAGTTCATTGGATAAGCCATTTTTCACATCATTAAGCCATTATCAAATAATCATGTATAGATGACCAAATACAATTGTGAGTGTATTAAACTAATTAACCCGCTAACAAAAAAGCCCGTAGAAGGGTTGTAGAAATTGCATATGACCCCATGCATTTTTGTTTTGCCGACTATAGTCCCTGTGTTTCAAAATTTGGTGTAGCTTCGAAATCTGTTATCACAAACTTATTAGACTGTCTGAAGTGTGAAAAGAAATGGGAATTGGATTCCATGATTTATGTCTCGGTTTACACCTTCACGTGGATAAAAATCTTAACGAACTCATATATAAATACGTGTTCGGGATTCAATAACACACCATGCACCAATCAACCATTTGCAGTTGAATACCACTTACGTCAAAGACGCACAGTTCAACTACCGATCAGCACCACCATCACGACTCCATGAATAAGAAGATCAAAGAAATGCCACACAAGTTACTCGACACGCCTCCATATTCTGATATCTATTTCAGTGGTCATGGCTTCCGAAGAATACCAGGACAACCTCAAGCGTATGTTAAAGTTACGAATTACTCTGACCGTAAGCCAAAATCCAAGTTCACACAATACGAAGTCGACATAGATGTAAACGTAGACGCAAAAGCTACGGATTTTATTGAGTCGAGGCACAAGAAATTTGAACTTAGCAAAACGATATCTATAATCATAGGTTAACTTGCATTTGACTATGCAATTGTTCAGCAGTCTTTGCTAAATAATATTTATTATTTTTAATGTGAAATATATTTATCATATGAAATAAGACAAATAATTTGAGTTTTATTTTGTTTTTTTTAAATATTATAAATATTTGAAGTTTTATTGAATGTTATAAATAAATCACAAACTGTTATTTAACGATAGAAATGTAAATCAAATATTATGTTCGAGTCGTTCTCAAACACTAAATAAAACTCGTTTAACTTAACGACCAATTCAGCCCTGTAAGCATATGTTTGATTAAATGTTCATAAATCGAGCATCGACCCATGAACAAACAAAGACGTGAGATAGAATAGTGATTGCGAGGCCCCGATTCGGGAATCTCCGGGTCTATGCTTGTTTTCAACTCCCTAAAGCGTTTCGTCGTTTACTACGCCCTTCCTCGCCTCTGGGTGCCTAGGTATCCATCGTAAGTCTTTCGTCATTTGAACATCGCCCCCAATAAATGAGTTAATTTATAAAGCTTGAATTTTTAGCCAACAAACAGTTAAATCAAACCAGATAAATTTAAGCCGTCGGTCTTTTCAACTATTCAAAAGTTGGCAGGTGCAAGACCCAATAAAATTTTGTTATTGATTTTGATCGTAGCCCAACTTCTAGCTATATCAATTATGTTGGACGACATCTTTTATGAGTCTGATCGAGTTTTTTGGCATAGACTTCGCTAAATCGTCGACATTCAGTAGTTTTGTTATTTGATCACATTGGCCGTGTTTTGATCAAATTACATGTCATGTCAAAATCCAAAAATAAGGACCTTATTGTATAAAAATTTAATTCCAACACGTTTAATTTATATTAAAATTAAAAATAAAATCATTTCAGTAAATTTATAGATACGTATATAGTCACGTGTAGATAATATAGGCTCAAGAAGTGGTCATAACAAACCGATTCAAATTTCAAAGGTTGGCAGGTTGGCAGAATTTGTAAGACCCAATCATATTCAAGTTTTCAAAATGACCAGAAGAATCTGTATACCGAACTAAAGGCGGAATATAATGTATGTAATACCCTGATAGATAAACTTCAAAATAATCAAAAAGAAACGGGAATCAGATTCCATGACTCATTTCCATCATCTCGTCAACAAACATCTTCTCAAACTTATATATAAATATATGTTCGGAACTCAACATAACTTCATCTCATCCATCAACCAGCCATCTACAATTATCTGGAACCGAACACCATTGATGCCGAAAACCCACGTTTCAACCAGCCATCACGGTTCCTCAAAGAAGAAACTGACCAACACGCCACACAAGTTATTGGACACGCCTCCTTATTCTGGTATCTACTTCACTGGTCACGGCTTCCAGAGACTCCCCCTCCAGCCACAAGCAACTATTAAAGTCACGAACTATTATCGCCACAACCACAAATACGGATTCACACAAAATGAAGTGGACGTAGACGAGAATGTGGATGCAGAAGCTGTAGATTTCATTGAGTCGAGACACAAAAAATTTGAACTCAGCAAGACGATGTCTATGATGGGTGACTAATTATATTATATATATTACATTTAACCATGTGTATATTTTGCAATTTTTGCTAAATAATGTGTGATAAATGTATTTTCATGATATGAAATAAAATAAGCAATTTATGTTTTATATAATTATTTTAAATTATGTAATTTAGTCGGACCTCGTTCGGATTTCGTAAATCACTACCGGAATTTTAAAGAAGTCGAAGTATGATCTCGGCAAAAGAAGATGTGCGTGCCATCATTTTTGTTGGCACGAAAAAAGTGTCATTCTTGTACGTTACGTTAATCTTTTTATTTTGTATATATTTTTTTTTTCAAGTATAACAAATAAATTATGTGGCCAAAAAAACAGGACTAGCTTGTTGCTAGTTGAATGACATTGGTCTTTGCCATTTACGCTCTTATTTATAAGGAACCTGTTATTCTTGAATAACATGTTGATTACTTTAAAATTTGGATCGCGATTCTGATTTTAACCCAGGTTCAGTTCTTCGATCCTAGTTTACAGAACGTCATGGAATCCCCCAACTTTCAGTTGTTTTAGCCTATTTGGTCAATAAACTATCTGCAAGTATCATTCAAGGGATTTTTTGGCATTGATTTTGCAAAGAAACAATTCATTGCCAATTAAGTAGGTGCAGTTACCAAAGGGTCTTTGGCCTAACGGTATTGTAGCCTCTTGCCTCCTATGAGATCAAAGGTTCAAATCTCACCATAAATGAGGAGGGTGTGTGAGTTTACTTGTTGCATTTGCCGTATATAAATATTATATACTTCAAAAAAAAAGTGCAGTTGTTGAGCAACTTGGAAGTGTTTTAATTCAATCGTATGTCACAAGTCAACATCCATGTATAACGACTCAATATATAAGAATCCAACAACTACATTATTTCTAGAAACATAAAAGATAAAGTTTCCTAGCAAACGAGTACTGCTCTTATAGAACATGTGGGATCAACGAGTTGCGACAAACCAAAAAAGCTTGAGTCAACCTTTTTAAAGATCAGAGGTTGGCCACCGCAAGACCTGATCACATTTGAGTTCCCAAATCTGCTAAAACAAATCCTTTCTACAACCCCACAAAAATAGGCAGGATGTAAAATTAGTTATATTTCAATAGATACGCTCCAAAATAGATGGGAATCATATTCTTTAGAGTTTCGACTCCTTTCCACCTCCTCATCAACACAAACATCACAAACCCGTATATAACCGTGTGCTTCGACCTCATCCAACCCTTCAGGCAAACCGTTTGTAAATTGTAACTGAATACCAATATACCACTGATGTTGAAGACTCACGGTTCAACCACCCATCAGCACCACCACCATGGCTCCTTGAAGAGACATCTACTTCATTGGACATGGCTTCCAGTGAATTTCGTTTCAGGCTGGAGCAGACATTGGAGTCACAAACTACTATTGATCGCGAGCACAAATATGAGTCATCACAAAACAAAGTGGACATAGATGTAAATATGAAATACGGATGTAGAAACTGAGGATTTCATTGATTCGAGGCATATAAAATTTGAACTTGTAAAACAGTGTGTTTGATCATGTGTATATTGAGCGATCTCTGCTAAATAATGTGTATTATTTTATTTAGAAACATGTTTTATAGTATCTGTGTTTTATTTGTTCTTTTAGGAAAAACTGCTAAATCTATATCAGATTTTATGAACCCTAACATAAGATCGTTTATAGATGGTTAATCGGGCTCAGCCCAGCCCGGCCCAACACCAATCAAGATCGGTTATAACCCAACAGTTCAGAACCAGTTACAAGTTTTATAAAATTTCGAGTTCCGACCCATAAAACCAAATTATCAATTATTTTTAAGTTTTTTAAAAATTAACCAACTATTAAATAAAAAAATAAAAATAGCCAATTCTCCACATACCTGTTTGGTCAGCAACCATGGTCTATGGGTTGGCAAGGGTACCACATGTCACAACTTTATTGGTTGATTTATTATTTTTTAAATAAAATTTATCTTATTATTAACTAGATTTTATTTTTTATTAGAACAAGAAACACCAAAACTCATATTTTTTAATTATTAATAAATAATGTCTAATATTGATAATATTTTCATCTACAATCCAAGATCTTTCATGGTACTGTCGTAGCAATATTTCTCTATACACGGTACAACAACGATTGTTGTCGGCATTGAGGACCGAACGCGATTGAGAACGAGCATGTAAAATGACCTTTTTACCCTTCGAGAAGCGTTTAACATCCGCTCGTTAATGCTCATAAATTTTGTATATCGTAAAGATTTGCCTCTAGTATCATAGACTATGTGATCTGTAAGTAGTACGCAAACCAACGATTTGCTAAAAACGCTACTGAATTCTGTCGTCCGTCACCCAATTCGCTTCATGATCCGTAGATCCAACACCGACAGACTTGTAGTACGCTTTTTCTGCATTCGATACGCGATCTTGAAATATCCTCCACTCTTTCTTGCACCGATCCCTTACCTGGAATGGAAAGATTCGACACCAGATTGTCAAAACATGCGTCTCTATTCACATGTGAATATGAGGTAAAAAGGACTATTCACATTGAATATGTGGTAAAAACGAGATGCATTGCATACCCCTTCCCATGGCGCTTTTCCTTCATCCGTGTTGCCCTACAAATAAAAAACGAGAGATTTAAGCATGATGGTACCCTCTCCCTGAGCTTACAACTTTACAAGGGCAGACCACCGGTACATTTTAGCTTTTCATGGACAGGATGGCCCACTAAACCCAACCCGTCCGGGCTGTTAGAAAACCGGGCTAGGAAACCATTCTCAACAAATGGGCCGGCCCAGACTGACCCGTTAAGATTACTGGGTGGACATGGGTGAAACAAATGAAAAATGAAGTTGTATATCCCACCTGGAGGTGGTGGGACCTGGGCTAGTAAGATGTATGCAGACCTGACCTCTACCCCAAAAGAATAGAGCAGTTGTTTTCGTGAAAACCCCTTTTACAAGGGTAATGTTGGAAATTTCCTTTTTTTTACCTGGTTTCCAAGCGAAGGCACGCCTTGATGAACAATCCATTGTGCATCTACGACTCCTATTCTTTCGTATGCAGGCTATAACATCAGAAACAAAAAGGGCATACTCTTATGAACGCCTCGAGCTTTCTTGAAACACAAACAACAACGGAATTTATCCATTACCTCGATACATTTTCGGAGGGCAAAGTCAAGACCCCATCCGTGAACCAAGTCGTTCTACATTTTCATAACACAACGGAAAGTGAAACCATTGAAGTATTTGAAGTAACGGGAATGTTGTTAATCATAGAATACGCTATACCTGAATTAAATGCCACACGCAGCGCCAAGCATCTCGTGAAAATACAGGAGCCATGATCTCCACAAATCTGTACCCATAAGTAATGAAGTCAGAACTATTAGGTAATACTCCCTCCAACCACGAAATTTGCAACATTTCGGTTTTTGACAAGTTTCCAAGGTCAAATTACTTATTTGCCCTTTGTCATCGAAGAGAGGGAGTAGACGGTAGGAGGTTAAGGTCATCAGTTAAAAGTACAGTTTGACTATTGAAGTCAACTAATTCAGATTGACTATGGCCTTTCTTGCAAAAAGATCATAGCTTTCAATATCTTGCAGTTCATAGTTTGCCCATTTGAACCCCATAGTCAAATTACTTATTTGCCCTTCGTCATCGAAGGGCGGAATGTAGACAGTAGGAGGTTAAGTTCATATCTTGAACACCCTCCATCAAAAGTACAGTTTGACCATTGAAATCAACTCTATGAACTTTCAAATTCAGATTGACCATGGTCTTTCTTGCAAAAAAATCTTAGCTTCGAGTATCTTGAAGTTCATAGTTTTCCCATTTGAACCCAATAGTCAAATTACTCATTTACCCTTTGTCATCGAACAGATGGGGTAGATGGTAGGAGGTTAAGTTCACATCTTGAACACCCTCCATTAAAAGTACAGTTTGACTATTGAAATCAACCCTATGACCTTCAAAATTCAGATTGACCATGGTCTTTCTTGCAAAAAGATCAAAGCTTTCACTATCTTGAAGTTCATAGTTTACCCATTTGAACCCAAGAGTCAAATTACTTATTTGCCCTTTGTCATCAGAGGACGTCGACGATAGGAGGTTATATTTATATCTTGAATACTCTCCGTTAAAAGTGCAGTTTGACTATTGAATTCAACCCTATGACCTTCCAAATTCAGATTGACCATGGTCTTTCTTGCAAAAAGATCATAGCTTTCAGTATCTTGAAGTTCACAGTTTTCCCATTTGACCCCAATAGTCAAATTACTAATTTGCCCTTTGTTATCGAAACAGAGAACGTAGACGGTAGGAAGTTAAGTTCATATCTTGAACAGCCTCCGTTAAAAGTACAGTTTCACCATTGAAGTCAACCCTATGACCTTTCAAACTCAGATTGACGTGGTCTTCCTTGCAAAAAATATCATAGCTTTCAGTATCTTGAAGTTCAAAGTCAGCCCGTTTGAACCCAACGGTCAAATTGTCGATCTTTTTTTCTTTTAGGGTGATTGGAAAGTGGGTGTAAGTAGAACGAATCTATTAGAAAGAAAACTTACGCTGCACATGGAGGCAAATGAGGGTCACTGCACCAGCCCGGTTTCTCCTCAGTTTCTCTACCAAAACATAACAAAGAACATAAAAACAATCACTTCATCTATTAAAAACAATCAAAATTATAAAAAAAAGATTTAATTTTTAAAATTATCACGGTAAGAGACAAGTAAGCATACGGTCAAAGTGCTGACTTACTTGTGGACTTCAAGATCTTCTCTTCTCTTCGTCATCTGCCAAGTCAAACCTTTGCTGCTAGGATCCAAGCCAGGTTGCGATATCTCCAATTTGTGCTTCTTCACAAGTTTAATATATCTGAAAAATCGTAAAAGATTCAAAGTCAAACGTTGACTAAATCAAGAAGTCTTCTTAAACGCACATAAATTTTGCCATCGACACTCACTCTTCAGCGTCAAAATGCTGAACTCCAAGATCTTCATCCCATATAAATATGAAGTCGTATGGCGCAACAATATCGGGATGCAGAAATCTTTTTGCATACCACCTTTTGTAAACAGCATAAAGTCAAAGATAGTAAGATACCGACTGATTCTAACCAGTAAAAGAAGTGTTTGATCGGTAGTTTTTGTTACCATTTTGTTTGCTTCGGAATACTTATGTGAATGGCTCGTTTTGACCACTCAAATTCATCCCATTCGGTTGTTCGGCCATCATAATGGAAGAGAAGGATCGTAAAGTTCTCTGAAAACTGTAGGAGGAGCAACACCATTAGGGCCGTTATAGAAGGCGGAGGGTGGCGGAGATAAAGAGAAATTAACCTTTTTGACCGCTTGGTCAATGTTATCTTTCTGATTATAACCAACGGTGAAAGTTACAAGATATTTTGGCTTGAATTTTAGGTCCTGCAAGAACGGAGATAATTGGCTTGTCTGTTAGTATCTTAACAAGCTTAATGAGACTCACAGCTTATTCGGTCAGCTATACATCACTGTTTGGTAGTGGCTTAATGATATAGAAAGTGGCTTATTAAGTAAGTGATGAAAATCAACAGATTAAGATCGACTAAAATGGAACAATGGAAGAAAATGGATGTATGTGATTGAAATTAAGAGGAATTACAATAACAGAAAAATGAACCAGGGAATCCCCCCTCTCTCAGCAGACTAATGCGAGAGCCAATAGAAACTTAGGAAAAACATTCCTACTCTAAATACGTTTTACCTCCCTCCTATTTAAAGGTAAAACCCTCTCCTCTAACCGACTTCAGCCACTTTCCTTTTCTGCCCTTTAGGCCCTTCAAGAGTAAACTTTTAGAATACTTGGTTTATTTACAATATGGTCCAACCCAACTAAATCCATAGCAGTAAGCTTCTAAGGGGAGCTTTATACAAAAAGCCAAGTTTTTTCCAAACCTGCCCCTCCCGATTAAAAAACACGCTCATTCCATCTATGAAAAAACTCTCCCAAACAAAAACATTCACAATCTATACAGACAGATTAATCCACACAAACAGTTTTATCCATACAAGACTTAAAAACCAACCAAACCACCCCTCCGTATATTCCACACCCGGAGGGGAGGGTTAAATGTAGGTAGACCTGACCTCTACCCCAAAGAGTAGAACAGTTGTTTTCGTGAATACCCCTGGCCTTATCAAGTCTCCAAGAAAGTTGGACCATATGAGCACGTATGACCAAAGTTGTAGCGGGAAAGCGGCTAACCTCACTCGGTCTACCAAACAATCTTCGAGGATAGAAGTCCGATTGGGAAGCAACTATAGCCGGAGGTAGTCTTTCTGCACCCCGGGGATTAGATGACACGAAGATCTGCATACCATTTGAAGTTCAAGATATAACGGCCTAGAAAGATATTTCATTTGAACCGAAAAATAGCATATACATTTTAAGGCCCTAATGGACAACAAGAAACATTCAAGATTCTTGGAGAGCAAACACGATAATGAGTCTAAACGAAACTAAATGAAGCCAGTAAATCCCACACAGAGGTAGAGTCAGAGGAGGGTCAGATGTATGTTGACCTTACCTCTACATAGTTGTCGGGGAAATGACCACAATCTTACATAGACGGATAACTTGAGTAAAACAATTGTAGTTTTAACCAACTTTGTACCATTTTAAGGAAAACTATAAACAACATAAATTATTGAACAATATCACGACGAACAAACCAAAGGGTCATTGGCTCAGCGATACGTGGGTTAACCGGTAGAGTCCAGCCTCCCAGGAAGTCAAGGGTTCAATCTTCACCAAAGGTGAGGAGCGTGCATGACTACCAGCTATATATATATAGATATATATATATAGAGAGAGAGAGAGAGACTTAGGTTCAGGGTGGAAACGAATAAACACCCTAATAACCATTTATTCGTACGGTATGCATATGTGCATAAAAGTAACTTAAAAGAAAAAGCAGGAGCCTTGGGCATTTGATTATTGGGCGCTCAACAAGGTAACCTAACCATGTTTCCTGGTTTCTATGCACCTGTGCATAAATCGGAGGAAGTACTTTTATGCACATGTGCATGTCATACAGATGAGTGGTTATTAGGGTGTTCCTCAGTTTTTCAATTTTTTGTGGTTTTTCCCTGAACAGCCAAACCTAAAGTTGTGTGTGTGTGTGTACATATATATATATATATATATATATATATATATATATATATATAGAGAGAGAGAGAGAGAGAGAGAGGGGAGGTTCATGGGAAAACCGCAAAAATATGAAAAACTGAACACCTTGGTAACCATTCATCTGGAAGGTATGCACGTGTGCATACAAGTAATTGAAGTTGTTTCTTGGTTTTTTTACACATGTGCATACCAGACAAAATGCTTACAAATTACTTGTATGCACATGTGCCTACCGTCCAAACAAAAGGTTAACAGAGTGTTCCTCAGTTTTTTTTTCTTTTTTTGCGGTTTTCCCCTACCCTAACCCTATATATATACACACACACTTCAAAAGAATATGATATCCAATGAAAGGATGTATACCTGTGATGGATCATCTAGTTTTTGAGTTCCGGTTGAGACGTTGTCCCTCGTCACAGATATCACATTTAGGATTGTTTGTGTAGACCGGCCCGAATTCTTGTCACCAAGGTATGTATCAATCGGAGCTATGAGTTTGAGCTATCAATTTTGAACCATAATATAAATGTCATCAAAGTAAATATTTCTTAACATTCTTGAAATCAAATATAATTACTTTGACTCACAAAAGTCAAAGATAGGCCTTTTTTGGCACGGATCAAAAATACGTACCTTTGGTGGTGAAAAAACCGGAAATGATACTCCAATGAAGAAGCCGAAAACAATACCAACTATGATGGTTACAATAGCCCTCATACACTCGTTTGGTCTTCTGAAAATTGCATCGTTGACAAAGAAGTAAAACATAATAATATTCATGGAAAAAGTTTCTAACATCAAACGAAAGTAAATAGAAGACACAAACCTACGACCAAGGCTTCCCCTTCTTTTATATTCTTCTGATTTCATAGTGATACAAGAAAATTAAACTCGTATTCTACGGTAAAACCCAAGCAGCCACTTAAGAAATGACAAAAAGACAGCTTAGATCAGCAAAACAAGATCTGCATATACCAGAATAACATTCAAGAACCCATTACAAAGATTTTCGATTCAAGACTAATTAACACGAAAAAGACACCTTTTTTGGTAGTTTGAGGATCAAATCATCGTTTTTCTGGGCAATTAACTCAAGAAAGTACCATGAACTACCGAAAAACGACTAGATGATCAAACCAAATAGTTTAAGTTCATCATGCTTTCTTGGATGGAAACTCACAAACCCACGAATCGAGGGTTTGCCCGAAACCGAATGCAATAACTTAAACTTTTGTTTTCCTTCTTTTTTCACCCAATTTGCTTATTTGAATCAACAAGATAAAGATCGAGCAATAAAGATCCTTAAAAAGGATTTGTGGACCAAAATATAAAGATTGAGCAAAGAATCCTACAAAAACCTAAATGCAATCTTGGACTCAATTCTTTAACACAAAATAAAACCAATTAAGATACCCCCAACACAAATTAAGTGATCTCCTCCCCAAAACCCACCTTCAGTTTCTCCAATATCAAGAAACTGAACCAATCAAGAACCAACTTTTGACAAAATTCACAAGCTTTGAAACAAAAATATCCGACACCCAGAATAAAGAAAAACATCAACTAAGCATCATGAATATAAAAAACTAAAAACCCACATGATCAAAGCAACTTGATGTACCACAAATATAAACAAAAGGATTCAGAAACCCTAGTTCTTGGGTACTACCCATCAAAAGAAACCCCTCAATTTGCTTTGCTTATATCATTCCCTTTTAAACAAAATAAGAGTATTTCCTGCACAATATCTTGCTGGTTTCATTCACTTGCATCACAAAACACACACACCCAGAAACAAGAACCAAAAAAAGAAAGAGCTTTTCCACAGAAATAGTACCTGAAAACTGCTTTTGAGGATGAACCCACAAGTATTTCGAGGAAACCAATGTGGGTTTAATGATTCTTGTCTCAAAGATTTCGTGAATCGAGAGGTTGTATGAGAAATATGATTGTGGAAAAGAGAGAGTTCTTCAGCATAAAAACCGTGGGTTTCAAAGATGATTCCTTTAACTGAAGAACTTGGATTGTTGCTTGGTGTTTGAAAAGTTTGGAAAGATTTCTATGGCGTTTTTTGTTTTGAAATTCGTTAATGATAAAGACAATATGGTGATGATGGGTTTGAAATATCAAGGCAAGTAATTAAAAAAGGGATAAATTAGAATCCCATTGATTATACATTTGATTTTCCCCCACCATTATTAGGATATAATTTAGACGACTTAAAACATTAATAATAACTATTTGATTCTAAAAAAGACTCTGGATTGGTTTGTATCAATCAATTATAATTGGTATGTAAAATTTTATATCATGTATCAATCTTTTGTATTTGGTATCAACTTAATTAATACCAAAAAATTTAGGTTGGTATATGTTGATATTGGTTTTGTATCAATTTCAAATTATATATATCTATAATATATTATAAAGCATTTGATAAAAACTTTTAAAAACATTTTTTATGCATAAAGTACTGTTTATTAAAGCATATTACTTAAAATTCAAGATTACAAGTAAATTGTGCATAAGTATAACTTATTAAAGCTCTATGTTTGAATTCGTGTAACTAATTGCAGATAAACATAATCAAATATAGGATAAACATCTTATTTTAAAATATAAAAAATCGAAAATATAATTAAGATAATTATTGAGTCTAACATAATACTTAATTATTATTCTTATAAAAAAATATTATTAAACCTAAATTAAGTTACTTCGATAAATTAAATTATAATAAAAAATTTGAATTAAAAAAAATACACAAATAAAAATTTAAATAGTTAATTTGATACTAATATTAATATATTTTTTTGCAAATTTTGTATGATACCTTCATATTTATATTTTATTCAAAAATAAAAACATTATTGTTTTTTTAAAATCACATAAAATCGTATTATATCGACATGGATAACAAATAAAATGAAACGTTGAAATGAAAATGTGTCTCGATGCATTGACACGAGTACCCTTCTATATATATGAAAATTTACCATGTTCTTTAAATTTTAAGTAATGTTTTGAGTTTATAAGTTACCAATATGATGTTTAAGAGTTTTTAACTGCAAAAAATATAACTTGCAAACATTTAAAGGATCAAACAAAATAGATAAAGTTACAATGTTTAATATTAAAAAAAATACAAAAACTAATTAATAATGAAATAAGTCGGTATCATGGTATTACTATGGTATGCAACCAATAATGGCATATACCAACTAAGTTTTGCATATTTGATACGGGTACCAATTTAATTTGTATGGTTGATACACATGTTGGTTGGTTTGGTACAAAATTGTCACCCTTACTAAAAAATGTATGATATTTTTCTAATTTAAGTTATTTAGAAATGTAATTATTATTTTCTAAATTTGTCATGTAAATAAGATTTATTATATGGGAATTATTTTTGAGTATGTTTGATTTATGGGATTTGATGGAATTTCAGGGATTTGCAAATGAATTTTGTTTAAATTATGTGTTTAGTTTAAAAGACGGTTGGAATTTGAAAAATATCGGTATTTCAGTGAAATCACATAATCGACGGATTCAAAAATATCTTGTAAATGACGTCATTTCAAATCCAAATTTCTCGAATTTCAATTGTTTTCATCTCGTCGCTACTTCGTCTCTTTCATCAAATTTTTCCTAATTTGCCCATTGTCTCCAAATAAGTAAATTATATATAGATCGAACAAGTATTTATTAAAAAAAAAAAAAACTGAATTTCTTTTTGGATCCTGTAAATCAAACAAGATTTATAAGAAAAATAGAATTCAATTTATTCTAAATCCCACAAACCAAATATTTGGACAAAAGTTGATTACCGGCAACTTCAACTGACACCATGTGAAACCCACCTCCAAGGACATCAATGCAAGAAGTATTTTTTTTTTTGGCTTACACGACAGCTGATGCTAGCGAAAAGGCTTGGGATCAAACCTAGGATATGTCTTGCACTGAGCAAAGTCACTCCACCCTTTTGCTTAGGGGATGTTTACCAAACACTTAACCAGGTAAGCGCTTACTAAGTCACATTATCTTACGTGATGAATATGTTACCAATAATCTTACTCGGTAAGAGAGAAGACAGGGACCGAGAGTCTTATCGAGAAAGTGAGGTCGACGACTCTTACTAGTTGTCACGGTTAGTGTTTACCAGGTAACTTGTTGCATATGATACCATTTAGTGAATTAAAATCTCATCATGTAAATAATAGTGTTGAATTTTACCAATTAGTGCTTACCCGAATAAGTTTTTGGTAAACGACCCCTTACACACAGGAGGCAAACCATATATTTATATATCATTTTGGTTCATGTTAGCGAATTAAAATCAAAATAGCAGGGAATAAAAATGGAAATGAATTTTCACTTCCCCGATTTAATCAGAAATGTAAATTTGAGCTTTTGAAGGAATAAACTCATTATATTATATAATATCAAACAATTTTCACAACTTAATGGTTATAAATATCCAAAAAGTAGTTCATCTTCACTGCTATTTTCTCAACAAAAAATTTATTTTTAAAAATAAAAATACAATAAATTATACTAGAATAAAATATATATTTGATTTCAATTAAAAATTTCGAAATTAAGGATTCATTTTTTCAAACTCAATAATTGATACTAATTATAGTAATTAACGTCTATTAAATGAAAATGAGAAATTGATGATTTCGATTCGTGCACAATTTGTAAATTAGAAAAAACGTACAAGTATAATTAGTTTATATGTTAAATATAATAAATATACAATTTTTTGTAAGAACCCATAAAATTGTGATAACTTTGAAAACTAGTATATTATCTCTTTGTGTTATTTTTATATATACTCTTTCATCTAATATTATGATTTAGAATGTCAATTAACATATATATATATATATATATATATATATATATATATATAGGTGGAGGTTCAAACGAGAACCCCTGTGATTTACGAAAACGCGAGAACAACTCAATAACCACAAACTTTTTTAATTAATAAATTAATTTTTATTATATATAAATAATTTAATAAGGGCAGTAATGTAATTA